AAACAATGCTTCGTGCTCTTCCTCGCCGTAACTTGGTATGATGCGTAAGCCACGATTTTCAATGCCCGAGTTCAACCACATCTGCTCAATTTCAATTGTTTGACGTCGTACTTGATCTTCCTGGCTGCATCATCAGATCTTCGATGTGAGCTTCGGATGCAAGCGTTCGTGCGTTGAAAGTACAGATCGCCATCTTAGTCCTTCTTCGTTTAGGCAGCCTATCCGGGCCCTGAGATTCTAGCAGCCTCTCCCGAGCGGTCCTACCCAACGCTGCCGTATTGGGGGCTCCCTCAGGTTCAGGGGAATGAGGCCCATCCATATTGCTGTTTTCGGCATATTGAAGGCACACGAGTAGCTTGCCAGGCTCTGTTGGGGGCTAGAATGTTCTCCAGGTATTAGGTTGGAAAGAAAGGTCTGGGCCACTTCCTAAAATTATCTTTTTTTTCCAAAGTTCAATGGCAACTTGAGTTGTAAACAAAAAAGACAAAATTTTAATCTAGAATTCGAAGAGTGTTACAGGACTTTCTTTTCAGTCTAACAGTTTGCCATGCTATCCTGGAGCGGAAACAAGGGCTTATTTTTGGAGGCGGCCCCGAATCGCCTCCCATGTACTTCCCAGTCACTTGAATGCAAGCTTTTGGCTGTGCCGACATGCAGGATACCAACCGCACACACACAGAGCGCACCACACACGCAAGCATGCATGGATGCGCCTGAGTGGAGACAGCTGGTATGAATCAACACAGCACTACAGAAACAGGGAGTCCATCCCCTGAATCCACCTGCGTCTCAGGGCAAGTACATGGTGGCTTTTGGTCCGCGATTTACCCCCTATCGCGCCACGTAGCCTTCGCCACCTAACCGGCTAGAGCTCCTCAGTGAGAGAGGACCCTCAGTTAAAGGGATCCGTGGATTGCAGTTAGTGATACCCAAAAACCTGCTGAGCGCACCACGCTTTTCAACAATGCTTGTGCTAAAAGATAGATTCCAATGCCACAGCTACAATATGTTTCTATGTGCCCACAATCGTCGTCAAAAAGGTGGCCCTAGTTAAATCAGTCGAGACGGGGCTGCACCAGTCTTGTGCTGAAATGGTAGGACACCTTAGCAGTGACTGATCGATGGTGCACAACGCTTTAACGAAGTTGATTGCACAAGAAATTCTAATAAATGTGCTCATCTGCTACTCACGTGTGCTCAAAAAGGGTGCGTTTTTGACCCTATGTGGCAAAAAAGACTCCGGGAAAAATTGTCCAGTTGAGCTGGTAAGTTAATAACTTTTCCACCATACAGTGCAGACCCTACTCTAACTAACTGTATACTTCTTTTGTCCAGGCCTAACTTTTTAGCAAGTGAGAGGGATGATTTGTCAGATGATGTCAAAACCGACCTACCTCTCTTTTTCGACTCAAAAAATTCCTAGCTTTAATCGTACGAGGTTTCCACTCATACTGGTAAATGGGAAAGTGCTAATGAGTCATTCGATGAATATGCTGTTTCACTCCCCGGATTCTGAATTAAAATATTGGTGGTCCGAAACTCGTGGTGAAAAAACGACACTAAGATATCCGGTACCTAAATATATTTCGGAAACAATGTCGTCCGTCTTCTGGCTAGTAGTTCAAACTTTCTTAGGGACACTCGAAGACAGATACGAAGCGTTCAGCATTATTTGAAAGCAATCCATCGTAATGTTCTGGTTCATATGTACTAGGAAGGAATGGAGGTATTGAGAGCGCAACTTGAGTGATCTGATGGGCACGTCTTATATTACAGGACTTTTTCAGCTACATAAATGATATCTCTCGTTTGAGTGCATACCCAGACAATAAGATAAGTGTCAGGATGGAATGTTGGCCATGAGTGGCAAAGCGATAATTTCAGACAAGCCTGATAATAGCCGTTAAAGCAAAAAAAATGTGTCACTGATCATGCTGCGTCTTTGCTAAAAGGTACAGTGCTTGCGCGCGCGTACTACACTGCGACGCATAATTATAGTTCCACCTACAAATTTCCCAAAAACTTGAATCTGGGGATGTTTTTGAAAAAGGCTCTACCGACAAATTGTGACACATATAAACGCGAATCAACACGGAAATCCAGTTTGAGAAGCAACAATTTTTTATCCTCATTTTTTCGAAAATACCCGCTTTGCCTATGACGCAAAATCATAGTTCCACCTCATGTTTCTCCGCTGCATTTTGCTTTTACCCAATCAAATTTTGAAATTATTCCTCAAGTTCCTTAGCTTATAGCAAAGGCAAAACCGCTGTCAGACTTCCGTAAAAGGAAAATCCTAGCAAAAGAGACGCAGGAATTGTCGAAGTGTCAGCTCACGCTGGAATTTGTCGGGGTGACTTCATAACGAACAAATTTCTCAAGGATGCTACAGGATATGATACTGGGAAGGAACCCTGATTACTATCCGACCGAGATAAGCGCCGTATCGTGAGAAAATAATACAACTTTATCCAGCCGGGTACGGAAATCAAAACTTCTTCAAAAGTTAGTGTCTCAATGGACGCAGTTTCACGTGTTTTACAACACGCTCGTGACAGTCCATGTCTGGAAAATAAGAAATACATTTTTTTGAAGAAAAAGGAGCCATTTTTCTTAGAAAGTTTCGCCAAATCGATTGAAGCGATGACATTCTTTAATTTTATCCTAACGTTTTTCTTTCTCAGATCGGTTTTTACTTCGTAGCAAACATGTATGGAGAAGAAAAATCAGGAGTATGGTCAGAGGTTCCAAAATATCACAGATAAAAAAGTGTCCTCACATTGCTCTACTTCGCAAAACTTTTCAAGAAAAATGGCTCGTTTTTCTCTCTGATTTCTTTTCACAAAAAGCGTATTTCTTATCCTTCCAGACATGGACTGTCACGAGCGTGTTGTAAAACACGTGAAACTGCTTCCATTGAGACACTAACTTTTGAAGAAGTTTTGATTTCCGTACCCGTCTGGATAAAGTCGTATTATTTTCTCACGATACGGCGCTTATCTCGGTCGGATAGTAATCAGGGTTCTTCCCAGAATCATATCCTGTAGCATCCTTGAGAAATTTGTTCGTTATGAAGTCACCCCGACAAATTCCAGCGTGAGCTGACACTTCAACAATTCCTGCGTCTCTTTTGCTAGGGTTTTCCTTTTACGGAAGTCTGACAGCGGTTTTGCCTTTGCTATAAGCTAAGGGAACTTGAGTGGGTGGGTAAAAGCAAAATGCAGCGGAGAAACATGAGGTGGAACTATGATTTTGCGTCATAGGCAAAGCGGGTATTTTCGAAAAAATGAGGATAAAAATTGTTGCTTTCTCAAACTGGATTTCCGTGTTAATATTCAGATTCGCGTTTATATGTGTCACAATTTGTCTGTAGAGCCTTTTCAAAAACATCCCAGATTCAAGTTTTTGGGAAATTTGTAGGTGGAACTATAATTATGCGTCGCAGTGTATCTCACGTGGTTGAGGTATTGAATTGGGTGAATCTTCGAGAAATGGCGAATCTTTACGAGCGACAGGACATCAGAAGGTGCCTCACGTTTTGGCCAGTTACGATCTCCGGGTTTCGGCATTTGGTATTCAGTGAAGTTAATGCAGGTATCCTCCATCCATAAATGAGCTGCTTTGCTGAAGGCATCTTTAGTCTCTTGGTCTGTAAACAGTAGTTTCGACTCCAAACGCATGTGCAAGAAACCTTAGAGCAACTAACTTGTAACATGATAATCAAACATGTATGGAACTCCTTCTGACCATAACTCTGCCTTCCATCCTTTCTTATCAAAAGCTTGTCTTTTAGCACGGGCTCCGCTAATATCCTCAGCAATTTGCTCTTGTTGTTCCCTTAAGATGATAAGATGATACAAATGTAAGAGCAAAATTCAAAGAGAAACTGTTCAGCATACTTTGTAAGGACAATATCTCCCTGGAACAGTGCGCCTGCAACTCCACTATTCATGTTGACCTCCACAATCGAGTCTCCCATTGGTTGAATGTCATCATCAATTTCTCTTTTGAACTGGTGCGAAATATCCAACCTCTGGTTTGCGATTTCTTATAAGGATTCACTTACCTTCGATTCTTCGAGGTCTTTCTCCATTCCGGAGGTGATGTGGAAAAGGCTGCTGCCAAACACGCAGCCAAAATGAGAACCAAAAGAGGAATGTTCATTCTGAAAAGCTGAAAGATTCTGAGTAATTGATTGCTTCCAATGGAAGAGATGCTGGTGGTGAAGGATGCACTTACTTCCTTCATTCCGTATTTATATGGTGCTTCTGATCTTCAAAGATGACACAGGTGTATGCCCTCGATTTCGATACATGGACGTCAGCGATGTAAAAAAAAATCTATTTCAGCCTTTGCACTGACAGAACTCTGCCACGTATGCAGAATCCAAAAGTGCAGCAAAACACCCACGAACAAAATTGGATGAACTCCTTTGTCGTGCTGCATTGCCGTTAAGTCTGTCTTTTTTGCCTCCCAAATCCTAAAAACATGTGCTAACTCACTTTTCAATGGAATTCCGCTCGATAGTTGTGCTGCACACGCAAAATCAGCTAATTGTCTCATAACGTCACCTGCTCTACTCAACTTGGAGAAGATTGGAATTAAAATAAGGGTCAAGTGTGTGCCCAGACGAGATTGGATTGTTTTTGCTAGCAGTTTAAATCTAGGGGTAAGCAGTGAACATGACAATGGCAGCCTTCTCTAGGATATGGATGGATCGGGTCGCTCGTCTTGGTGAAACTCCAGAAAGGGTTACTATCGCCTTTCGCTTGGCTTCTTCATGAAGCACCGCATCTCTGGGCTCTTGTATAATCTGAGTATTATGCAAACACAGAAACGGGCTTGCAGAAATCATTTTATTGGCATAAGATCTTTAAAAGACGTTCACGACATTCACGGTTTCAAATGAAAGTCAGGGGTGTGGCGCATATCAGATTGGGGTGGAAGTTAAGTTTTTGCTTTCTTATTCATTTAAAAAATGTTGATTGTAAAGCCATCGAGAGATGTGCGATGACTTCTATTAAATGGCTGGAAAATACTATTCAGATCGAAAACCTTTCCCGCATTGAAATCATGAAAAATCCAACGTATACTGATTAGTTTTAAAAATTTGGCCGTATCATTTTACACTTTCTGTTGTAATACAATTTGTTTTGAAGAAATATTATGTTTGAATAGTGACATTTCTAGAGGACTACTATCTCCGTTTCGATCGGACAACTTTTCTCGGCAAGGTTTTATTTTTGAAATATTGGCTGTAACAAGTACTTTGAGGAGTTTTAGTAAAGGCAAGCTCAGCCGTTTATAGCGTCCAAGCCCTTTTAATAAAATTCCGTTCCCAGAAGAGTCGTGGCTACCAAAGCTAAAGCCCTCTAAATTGACGGGCATATTTTCTGACTAGGCCGCCACATTATTCAACTTCAGCAGAAAAAATTCGAAGAGCAAGGCTTTCAGTTACAGCGCCCTTGTTTGTTTCGGCGCATCTGCCGAGGGGATCTTAGGCTCCTCAACGACATTTTGTTTTTGCTTGATATTAGGTTTCGAAATTTTTCTCTTTCTTTCAGGAATGGTTTCTTCAGGGGGATATTCGAGGGCTTGACGAGAGGGGTCGTCGGGTTGTGGATTTACAGTAATGTCATGTGTTGCATTACTGTAGAGGATTGAGGCTCTTCGCTGTGTAATGGTGACAAAAATGCTGCACTGGACTGCCGGAGTCACGCGTCTGGACCACATTTTCAACGAAACCATCAGAAGGCGGTTTGGTGCAGCTCCCATAGCTGATAAAATGCGCGAAGCTCGCCTAAGGTGGTACGGACACATCCGCGCTAATCACGACAGTGTAAGATTGGTCTAAAGTTTAAGGTGCCAGGAAAGCGGCCAAGAGGACGCCCGAAGCAACGTTGGCTTGGTACGCTGCATGAGGACTTGAAATTAGTTGGCCTTCATCCCGATCAGGCGCACAATCGGGAAAGTGGCGTTGTCATACCAGGATAGCAGACTCCGCCACTGGGTGGGCAAACACTAAAGAACGAGAAGAAGACGTCATGTGTTGTGACTGCGTAAGATCTGGCTGATTAACCTGGAAATTGCGGTGTTCTCTCTGTGCATCATTTGACCTCAATTCCGTTGACTGACCAGGAAATGCATTGCACTTCCCATGGAACTTTGAAAGGAGACCTTGATATATCGATAGTCTATCTATCGATAGTCTATCGATATCGGTAATCTAATCTATCGATAGTCGCCAAGGCTCTGCGCCAAAAAAACAGCCTCATATTCGTGATCAGAGCACCCAGGTACCCTTGATCAAGTTGCAAACAAAAAACAGCCGTGCTTCCACATAGGGCCGCCCTCAACACTAGCGTGGTTTCTACTTGGCAACTTCGAGCTACTAACTTTCTTCTTAGCATTTTAGTGTCCATATTTGTAATCAGCGTCCGACACACTGTCGATGTACCTAGGCCTCCTTTCAAAGTTCCGGAATTTCGAAACATTCCTTGGTGAGTGTGGGCTAAGCTCAGAAGAACTATTGATGAAGGTTGAGAAATTGAGGATCCCATCGGGCTCGAAAGTCGACAAGGTGCTCGTTTATCATCGCTCTGGTGTAGCTCTTATTAAAGTCTATCATACACTTTCGTGATCTTTTGGAATTTTGACTGACAATTTTGGGCAGTGTAAGCGTTTTCTTATCGCGTGTCATTACATTAACTGCCTTGCGACGCAGATATATTGTTCATTTCATCTGTCTAGAACGACACTGTTAGGCAACCATTGTTTGCTGAAACAACACGTCCAGCTCAAAAACTCAAATGTGTGCATTATGGACAGAACAGAGAACCCTCAGACTTGGAGATTCGTACAATGTTAGTTCAGGTTTCTGTGATCACGAGGATGGTGGATAAATAGCTGCAGACACTTTGGACTAATCAGAGCGGTATTGCCACACACATCATGTTTAGCTCGTACTGGATGCTATCCGTTGTGAGAGAATATCTTCAGAAATACGCTACAGAGGCTACAAGGCGATTTTTTGCATGTGCGGAGGCACGCGATACATTCAGCACAAGGACAACCATATTTCCAGATATGCCGAAATGGAATAAAAGATCCTAAGAGTTAAGCAGCTCTCAAAATTCCTTTTGTACAGCGCATGATTTTTTGCACAATCGTAGGAATAGAGGCTAAAGAAAGAGAAAGAAAAAATCCTGTAGGTACCATATGTTCTGAAACCATCAATCCTTGGATGTGCTGGCTCACTGCTTTAGTATTGAGTTGACCCATAATTTCTGGCGGAATTTCAACACTTTGATTTATTTCAGTTTTATCTTTTCAAAAGAACAATTGATTAAAAGATAACCACCATCATGTTCAATGATATGCACCCATTTGCTAGGAAACGAATGGATGCATTCCTCCCAGAACGAGAGAAGCTGTGAGATGAAAAGCTCGAAGAGGTCGTTTTTGGGGTGGTTGTATTTACTGACTTTTTCCTCTCCTAGCTGCTGCTTTCAGGGCTGAGGAGGTGATAGTACGATGGAGCAACGTAAGGGCTATACGATATATGTGGTGTCGCAGTCCAGCCAGTTTCCCTCGGAACGTGGCGAGTTGTCTTTGCAATGTGATTTCGGGCGGTCCTCTTGATAAAGGAGATTTTGAGACTTTCCAACCATTCTCCCCCACTGCTGTGGCCAACTTTGGGAGCTATTCCATGGTTACCTTCGCAATGCTGGGCATTAAAGTGACATGGTTCTCAAAACAGGATACCCAGTGAATCCAACAAACCAATGATATTGGTCATCACACTCTCAATGAAACAGCTCGAGTTTTGGTTGATGTGCTGCGTCCAGGCTGCGAGGCCCGGGCGGCCGCGTGTTGTTATCGTAGGGGGTCTCAGACTCATCTGCACTGGTGACCAATCCAGGGAATGTCTTGTCTATACGGTCGCAGAATGAAACTTCTGCAGATGGTCAGGCGTGCTTCTCGGTCATGGTCAGTCCATGCATGCTGTTTCCATCGAGGCTTCATTCTGCTACAGTCCATTCCATTCAGGTGTCGACTCATGGAGCGTTAGATTTGCTACAGCTTTCTGCTAATACTCCCTATTCGTCCTCATAGAAAGTGATTTGAGGTCCGTGATGAGGTCGAACTTTGCAGCTCCTATCGCCTTTGTGTATGCTATTGAGCCAATAGCTCGGTGCCCGATCAGTAGCAATATTGGGGCAAGCGTAGCGCTGATCTTGCCTACCGCGCTCCTTGCAAGGTTCTTCTTAAAATTGTCGCAAGGCAAAATCGTTGGGTTTGGTTGTTGATTATTTTGTATTCCTAACTAAATTATCCCTTTGCGCACTCAAGCTTGAATCATCCTGGCTATACATACACTACATTATAACGATAGTGAGAATATCCTGTGAACGAGGACGAGAAACAATGTCAGAAGCTCCTATTTCCCATCAATTTCAAGAAAAGTTCTACATTATTATGGACGACTTCGACGACCCTGCGTGAGGACGATGGTGCAGTAGCTGAAAATGCCCAACACCATTCGGTTGTTCCATCCATACACTTACCGCACCATTCCCTTGAGACAACGTGTTTCCAAAAGTCTGTGCTTTTACAGGAATATTGAAAAACTGTCAAGAGATCAAACGTTCAGTTGAAGGGTGTATCCCACTGCTTTCAAAAGCAGGGTGACAGTGCTTTGCCTATCAATGGAAATATGTTGTAGCGCCATTTTGATTAATAATCTTGAGCTTTCGCTATTGTAATTTTGTGTTGAGCAAGCCGACTGAATTTTTTTTCAGAGCTTACTCTATGTGATTGTGAGACAGTTTTGCTCTTTCCAGCTGGGTTGGGAAAATAATATAATGACCGCGACCGCATGGTCATTTGAGACTTCACAATCTCACCCACAATCTTTGCCCTCTTCGCGCCCTTGTTAGCAGACGAAATAGTGAGCGTACTGCAATTAATGTGAATGAC